TAGAACTCATGAACGAAAATGCCCAGAGCCCAAGAGAGTGTCTGGGTTGCAGGCACTCAAGCGTCCAACAGACAAGAGGCAAATGTATCAAAGGCATGTTAGGCCCAGCTTTGCTCAGCTGCAATAACAAGCAACCCCAGTCCCTAGAAGGCATCTGGCAACAAGGATGTGTTGTGCCTTTTCTTCACTCTAAGGGAGTGTTGGGATCCTGAATGCTGAGTGTCAGCATACTGAACCCTGCCCAGTTATCAAGTCAAAGAAAAAGTAATGTAATGTGCTGAGTGCAAAAGTGATCCTCCCCATCGGTCCTAGTACAAGAAATAGTCTTGGGAGCAAGAACTGGGGTAGGCAGAGCTGGAATAGTGTGTGAATCACATATTTCCAACTGCCCAAAGGAGCCTGGGCTCTTCCAGGAAGAAAACACAAAGTCCCATACAAGAGGAGGACTGAAGCCTCCTCGTCAGTCACAGCAGGAAGATACCAGAAAGGCAGGAAACAGAGTCTGGGAAACTCTGAAGGATGTTGTTGTTTGTTTGCTTACCCCTAGAATTCTATGCTTTAAGTTAACACATAAATTAGAAGCCAGAAAGGACACATAGAAAGTCTTCAAATCTGAGTCCAAGGAGTGACACTACGAGGAAGCCTGGGAACAGGAGATTGGTGATGAACAGCTCTATTTAGCTGAGTAATGACGCACCAGTGGGAGGATGGAGCCTGCCCAGGTGGTAGTCCAAAGATTCAGAAGTATGCCCCAAGAGGTCCTGCTGCTTCTCAGCATCATGGCGAAGGAGGCAGACCAGAGTTCCCCAACCAGCTAACACTGTGTCCCAGGAAGTACTGGAATGATGGTGGGTGGTGAAAACTGGGAGGTATGCTCTGTTCCCATAAAGAAGGAACATGTTTGGGTGAAGACATAGTAAAGGCTAAGGTGTCTGCATGTGTTAGACCTAGGTTCTAATCTCCTTTTTGGTTTCCTGAGCACTGCCTCAAGTGATCCCTGAACACAGAGCCCAGAGTATAAACCCTGAGCACCTCCAAGTCCTAGAAGGTTCACTTGGGGGGAAAATAGGGGGATGAGTAGTTTCTTTTTTCTGAAAAGGAACAAATAACTTTGGGAACCGTTAATGAAGCATTTGAAGCTGACTCACTAATAGAATAGCAAAAGTAATTCAACTATTTATAAGTTCCAGCAATGCCTGCCGTGGCTCACTAAGAAATAGCACTTGGTCATACACATAAATACCAATGCTGACCTCCTCAAAAATTTACTGTATCTATGTGGAGGAAAGTGAATATGTGAAGGGAGAAGAGGAAAGAGAATGATGTACAGCAATCTTCCAAAGAAAAATGTCAGGCTAATATCAACAAGTGAAGACTCACAAAGCAGATATAATCTGCAGCACAAACCAACTGTCAAAAAAAAAAAAAGGAACAAGAAGGTAAGCACTTGCCTCTGGGTATGGGGAAAGAGAAGTAGGGGAAAATGTTCTGTTCAACAAATCCTACGGTACACTACCTGCCAATAAAAAAAATACTACAGAGAATTGGAGCTAGTTCACCTAGGGAGCTATCTAGTAGGTCGGCATGATTTTCAATCACACCTCTGAGCTCTTCCTAACTGTACTGCTTTGAGTGTTTCAAAACCTTAAGATACAATTCTTGTCCTTAAAGATGCAGAATTTTATTAAAAAGACAACATACCCACTGGAAAGAAGCCAAGCGCAAGGCAAGCTGGCATTGAGTTCCCTGAGCATGGCACAGACTTAACTGGTAAAAAGAAAGAGATACTACTCTTTGCCAGTGGGAAGTGGGTAAGAGTAATAAGAAGTAGAGACTGAAAACAGTAAGGAGGAAAAGAAAAAAAAACCATATTAAAAAAGGCAGAATGAGGAAAATAGTATGATCCAGAGCCTAGTTTTAATCCCAGCTGGAAGCAATATCCACCCACAACAATACTGAAGGCATGAAATACAGTGCTTCCTTGCCTCTCCTCGGGAGCCCCGGAGAGGGCCCAGATTCACCAGGTAGAACAAAAGAAAGAGAAAGAAAGGAAGTAAAAACTAGCAAAGCAAGAGAGAACAGGGAAATCATTTCTACAGTGAAGCCGTGTGTAATGTGGGAATACAGCTACCTTCTGAACAAAGGTGAGATTCTACTCATAGCAAGAGGGAGGTGGGCATGATTATTAAAAAGTAAAGACTAGGGCTGGAGCGATATTACAGCAGGGAGGGCATTTAACTTGCACGTGAAAAACCCAGGTTTGATTAGATGGTCCCCCGGGGCACTGCCAGGAGTAATTCCTGAGTGCATGAGCCAGGAGTAACCCGTGTGTATCGCCGGGTTTGACCCAAAAAGCAAAAAATAAATAAATAAATAAATAAAAGTAAAGACTAAAAACACAGGCTTAATTGTTGATTTACATCTCTACAGTCTCCAGAACTACCAAAGTCCTGTCATTTTCCCCCTAAAAGTATCTCATTCCTGCGCAGCAGCATCACAGCCTCCACCCCTGGTCTTAAAACCTCAGAGGGAAAGTCCCCTACTCCTCCCTGTGCCTCCTGGCCACACCACCTTCACCACTGCCAGGACAACACCTTCTCTTGAATTCCAGAAACACTCCCACTCTTGGCTATCCCAGGAATTCACCCATGCTGTCCCTGCTGGTCCACATTCCCTCCCTGTTACCTGCCACATACTGCAATGCGTTCAAGGCTCAATTTCTTAAACAAATGAAAGCCCCAGCTTGCTCTAACTCACTCATCCCCTTCCTTCACATCACTTTGTATATTAACCACATGAGGCTAACAGCCCCAAGGCATGGCCATTTGGGCTTCTAGAACAGTGGTTCTCAAAGCACAGTCCCCACAGGGGCAGCAACCCAAGAGAAGCTATTAGACAGGAAAAGCCCAGACTGGTTGAATCACAAAGAGCTACAGTGGATGGCAGCACTCTCTATTTCGAGAACCCTCCAAAAGATGCCCCAGCCTGTTACACTCTGATGAACTGCACAGGGTTAGGTCAGTATCCTGCATACCCTCCTGGGCCCTGGGGTCCAATATGGCAGCAAACAGCAGCCAGGAGTGATTTGGGGGGGGGGAATTTCCCAGTAAAACCGACAGTAGGGAATTAACCGCACTCCCAGATGACCCGAGCATTCTGTTCTGAAGCTCCTGGTATAACTTTACAAGCCCTCTAAATCCAGGCCATCCTCAACTTTCTCCACTCGCCAGCTCTTTCTGTGCAAGAAACACAATGTGGAGAACTGTCAGCGCCGCCAGACAGCCTAAGGTTCATCACACATTATGTTTTGAATTAACGCTCAGTCTTTACACATTCAGAAGCTTTACTGTGAACAACTTTATCAAGACCTCCACATTCAGTTCCAGGGCCCCCTGTTAAAGCAGCTGGACTCTTATCAACAGAGGATAAGACTGCAGCAGAGGGCTGGGTCTAGAGCTCCAACTCCTTCCTCTTATGCTGCCCAAATCTCTGCTCTTCATGGCTTATCTGTGTAATCATCCACCCATCCATAAGTGCTCCCAGTCTTTCTTTTCTACTGGGAGGTGCAGAGTGGTATGGACCAAACTGGGTAGTGCTCAGGGATCATTCCTGGGTTATATGTGGAGACCATATGCGGTGCAGGGATCAAACCCAGGTGGGCATCATACAAGGCAAGCGCCTTAACTCCGGCACTATCTCTCCCTGTACTATCTTCTGTTTTCTACTATCTCCCAATTTTCTTTAACCTTAATTGACTCAATTCCAAAATCGGAGTCATTATGTGTTTTATTTCCTAGAATTGAGACAACCGAACTGAGATAATGATAAGCACTCTGCAGGGTGCCTGTACAATTGCTATAGTCTTAAGAAAACTGCATGTTTACAAGAGTTCCCTTGGGTCCCCGCATTTTACGCAAAACTGAACCTTGGCAAACCACCCACATCTTACACCTAATTCCTGGCCTGAACCCTTGCCTAGTAACGGAAAGTCCTGCGTGAGCGTATGTGTCCACTGGGACATGACACCTGTCTTTCTAGAGCTCCACTACACTCTCATTTGCCTAGGAAAACGACCTCGGGTACTCCCACAGTTAGCAGCTGGCTACATTTCTGGCTGTCAGGAAACAACCGCTCCTCCTGGTCTAGTGGGGGCATTGGGTCGGTCAAGTATTAGCAATAGCAACTGCAACAGACGCACCCCCCCCCAATCACCCACCCCACCGCGCCCAACTGCACAGATCTCTTACAGGAGGATTTTCTCTTAAACGAGGGTATACTGGGATTCCGTTCTGCAGCTGATAAGACTCCAGCACGTGCTGGAAGCATCACCCCCGCCCCGCCTCGGGGCTGCGACCACGGCCAGGCTGGAGATGAGCGCCTGGAACACCCCGCGCGCCCACGTGCAAGCACAGAGGCACTGCCACCCTGGGACCCCGCGGAGCCAAACGCTGAGTAATCTTCCTGCGGAGCAAACACCCGGGACGGGCTCCGCCAGCCGCGACAGTATTTTTATCCTTCTGGAACCGTTGCGGCGAAGCGAGTTCCCAGACTGTCCCGGCACGGCGCAATCCCTGATCGCCTAGGGAGACGTGGGCGCAGCTCGGCGCGCCGGGCAACGGGGGCCCGGGTGGTGGCAGCAGCCCCGCCGCGCGGGGTCAACCCAGGACGGCGACTCCTCGACCTCGCGGCCAGCTCGCTCCGTCTCTGGGGCCCCTGCGCCCGCCGCCGGCTCTCCACCGCCAGGGCCTAGCTTAGCCGAGGGTCGGTGCCCACGAGGGCGGGGAGGGCGAGGGCGCACCATCCCCGGAAAGCGGCGGCCGCGCCAGGAAGCGCAGCTCCCCACCGGGCGGGGAGGGAGGCGGGCCGCAGGACTGCGGGGAAGCCGCACACCCCCCGCCGAACACCTCCCCCCAATACACACACACACACACCCCGCCCCAGTCCCGCCGCTGCGCCCGGGATGAATGGGGCTCCCCTTCCCGACCCCGGCACGCACTCACAGGCGACGTAGGCGAGCAGCACGATGCCCAGCAGCAGCTTCATCCTTCTGCGATTGACCGCGGAGACGAGGCGCAGTAGCGCCTTGCTGACCATCCCCAGGCGCCACGCGGGTCCAGGGCCTGGCAGCGCAGCGGCCCGCCTGCTGCACAATGCGCGGAGGCCGCTGCAGCCGTGCGCGGGAGCCCCGCCCCCGCCCCCGAGAGGCCCCGCCCCGCGCGCCGGTTTCCTGCTGTCGCGGCCAATGCGCACGCGCACCTCCGCCCCCCCACCCTCCAACCCCCTCCCCGCGCCCTTCGGACGCCCCGCCTTTCTGCCGGCCTGGCCGGGAGGCGCAATTGCCCCGCTCGGGCTCCGCGTTTCCCCAAGAATGCGGCGGGGAGGGCGCGGGAGGGTGCGCGCATGCGCGCCCCAAGCTTGTTGATTTTACTTTTTTAATGCACACGTACAAGCGCTAGCGTGCTGCGCTCCGCTTCCCCTAGAGGGACCTGGTTTCTGTTACCAATGACTAGTGACAGTAGCATCGGGTTCAATGAAAGTGAAAGATGTTCCACTTCCTTCAAGGGCTGGGATGTCTTTCTTTGAGAGCTTAGCTACTTGGAGTCCCGGGAGATATAGTTCACAGGGTTGGTGAGCAGGCTTTGCCCATGGGAGGCCCAGGTTCTATCCCAGCGTTTCATAGTCCCCCAACAGCAGGTTCTATCCCTCGCACCACATAGTTCCCCAGCACAACTCCCACCATCTGCAGGGAGCAGCCCCCTCCTCCAACACAGGCACCAGCATTTCCAGGGTGTGACCCAAAACACAACAAGCTTTATTTTTCTAACTTCATCTTATTTTTATGAAGTTCTTCAGAATAATTAATTGCATTTAAATTTGAACATCAATCCCACCACCATCACACCTTCCTACTGCCATATTTTGGATTTTTCCACCCCAAATCCCAAACCATAGCCCCCTCCCAAAGCAGACCCAAAACAATTTTTTATTGCTTGTTACGAATACTCTGCCAAAAATGGTCCAATGAAGTTTCCTTAGAGGGAAATAAGTAAAGATTGTTGTATTTCATCCTGGAGCCATTAAGCCCTTATCTGTGCTACTCTTGGTATATCAGTGGGTGCAGAGTATGAGAGGTGCATTCGGGGCCTCGTGCTCCAGTAATTCTGAAAGTTAGAATGATTAGAGGAAAATTTAGGCAGAACCATCCATGACATTGAAGCTAAAAGCATCTTTAAGGATGAAATACCACTGACCAAGCAACAAATATAAATGGAACGACATTAAACTAAGAAGCTTCTGCACCTCAAAAGAAACAATGACCAAAATACAGAGAAAGCCCACAAAATGGGAAAGAATATTAACCCAAAACCCATCTGATGGGCTGGAGCGATAGCACAGCAGTAGGGCATTTGCCTTACAAGCGGCCAACATGGCCAACCCGAGTTCGATTCCTCCGCCCCTCTCGGAGAGCCTGGCAAGCTACCAAGAGTATCTCGCCCGCACGGCAGAGCCTGGCAAGCTACCCGTGACGTATTTGATATGCCAAACACAGTAACAAGTCTCATGATGGAGACGTTACTGGGCCCGCTCGAGTAAATAGATGAACAACAGAAGGCCCGTGACCCGTGACCCATCTGGTAAAGGGTCAATATCTAGGATATACAAGACACTAGTAGAACTGTACAAGAAAAAACCTCCAACCCCATCAAAAAATGGGAAGAAACGAACAGAACTTTCCTTAAGAAAGAAAGACAACTGGCCAAAAGGCACATGAAAAAATGCTCTACATCACTAATCATCAGGGAGATGCAAATCAAAACAACAATGAAATATCCTCTCACACCAAGAGACGGGCACACATCAAAAAAGAACAAGAACAACCAGTACTGGCTCAGATGTGGGGAGAAAGGAACTCTCATTATTGGTGGGAATGCAGACTGGTTCAGCCTTTTTGGAAAACAATATGGGCATTTCTTATAAAACTAGAAATTGAGCATCCATATGTCCCAAAATACCACTTTGGGGAATATATCCTGAGGGTTGGAAAAAACACAGTAGAAATGACATCTGCGCCTGTATGTTTATTGCAGCACTGTTCACAATAGCCAGAATCTGGAAATAACCAGAGTTCCTGAGAACAGACTGCTGGTTAAAGAAACTTTGGTACATCTATACAATGGAATACTATGCAGCTGTTAGGAAAGATGAAGTCATGAAATTTGCTTATAAGTGGATGGACGTGGAGAGTATGATGCTAAGTGAAATGAGTCAGAAAGAGAGGGAAAAACATAAAATGACTGCACTCAATTGTGGAATACAAAATAACATAATATGAGATGGACACCCAAGGACAGTAGAGGCAAGGACCAGGAATATTGCTCCATAGTTGGAAGCCTGCCTCATGAGCTAGGGGAGAAGGCATCTGGAATAGAGAAGGAATTACTAAATCAATGATGGTTGGAGGGATTGTTCGGGATGGGCGATGTGTGCTGAAAGTAGATAAAGGACCAAAGGTGATAGCCTCTCAGTATCTGTATTGCAAACCATAATGCCCCAAAGTAGAAAGAGTATGGGGGAAATTGTCTGCCATATATACAGGGTGAGGGTTGGAATTGGGAGGGGAATACTGGGGACAATGGTGATAGAAGATGTGCACTGGTGGAAGGATAGGTGTTCAATCACTGTATGACTGAAACTCAAACATGAAAGCTTCGTAACTGTATCTCACAGTGATTCAATAAAAAATTAAAATAAATAAATAAATAAAATTTAGAATAATTGATTATACAGCAGATTCACTTATGGGTGAGGCTCATCCAAGCCTGTGGAAAACGGCCATGAGCACGGCGGGTGTTGAGTTCTGGAGGTTTGGGGCTGCTAGAGCTTTTTTGGGGTGGGGAGGGAAACTCACCTGGCCCCCTCTGAGTTTTCCAGGTGAAGACAGCCTGAAGTGGAGTCTGGATGATCTATGTTGCTCTCTTCCGGGAGACAAGATTTTTTTTTATTGAAAAGTATGCTAGAACAGTAGAACTTGAGAATGATTTAGAGAACTGGGCTTATCAAGGGAAAGGGGAGGGACCTCTGAGACAAAGGTGGAGGAAAGCAGACCCTCTGGTGGACTACGCGATGTTGGAAAGTTGTATGCACGAAACCATATCATTAACGGTGTTGTAAATCATGGAGCTTCAAATAAAAATAAAACTTAAAAGTGTGTGTTGGGTGGGGGGAACAATGCACCTGTAAGAAATTTCTAAATTTAAAAAAGCTTTTTAAAAAGTAATGCTAAGCTATAAATTCAAAATAAAGATGAAACGGAGGATGAAATCCTGCTTCAAGAAAAACAATAAACATGCCATGTTTTAAAACATTTCAGTATTATTGCTGATGTATATATTTAGTATATTTATGTATTAATGGTGTGTGTGGCTTAACCTCTTTGACAAGTGTTTACTGAAAATCCACTACGTTTGGAGTTCACAGAATACACAGATGCAAAAGTCATTATCTGATCCACAGAATGCTGTTCCTATAGAGAAGAAAAGACAGTTCCCACAAATCTGTGATGTGATGACAAGAGGAGCCTGCAAAAGTCTGGAACTACTAACTGTAAATCTTCAGTCCCAGACAAATGCATCTAAATAGAGGTGTCTCTGACCTCCAAGAAGTTTAGCTCTTTATGCTAAATTTGGAAATAACACTATCCTTTAGGTTTATGAGAAAACTACAAGAAAAAAAGGGACACTACAACTAGCAAATAGCAATAAATAAAAGTATGTTACCTCTTTCAAACTAAACAGCACACCTGCTGTGACTCAACTTTCCAGGCAACTTCTGTTAGCTCACTGAGAATCATCTAATGGGAGGAAACTTGCTGAACTGCTGTTGAAAGGAAATAGAATGCTACTTTTCTCAATTGCTGTCTCCTTTCAAGTACATCTCCCTGCCTCCTCAGAAGAGTATCACAGGGGTGTCAGAGCATTCTTCCTTTAGAAACAGAGACCTCATGGAGCTGGACAGAGTCACAGCGCAGCTGGACCTCTGGAAGGAACACAGTGGTGGGGAGGAATCTCTTTCTGTCCGACTTTATTCATCATTTAACTTTTGGGGTTGGCTAAGACTGATGATTTTATTTTGTAGAGAAGTATTGAGTATTCTAAAAGTATTTGAGCTCATAGACTCACGATTTTGACACAAAAGGTGAGGAGCAGAAAAGGGAGACCAGGTTTTGTGGATATGCCCTAGTGGCAAAAACAGAATGAAACTGTCAGCGAGATCTCCAGCACATTGGGTTGCAGTCAGGAGTTAGTTGGTCAGTACCTATCAATTCAAGTGGCCCCAAAATTGTAAAATATGTTTTATTTCTATATAAAACTGCTTGAAATTTAGAATTTCTAGTTGAACATTTTTACTGACACAGTCTTCAACTTCTTCTGCCCGTTGAATTCAGCGCATGGAAATTCCATTAGTAGGGGCAGTTCAAGTGGCTGCTACTGTCCTTACTATGACCCAGAAGCTTCTGGTGGCCTAGGAGTCTGACCTACAGCTCACTTAGCTGCTTAAGGAGTAAGACATGGGGTGTGTCCAGAGGAGGGTAGAAGACCTGAAGGAAAGAAGGGGCCAGTAAGGTCCTCCAGAGCCTGCAGGAAAACCATGAGCTTAAGTAGGTTTACAAGACTTACCAAAATATTTAGGGCCAGTGACTTGTTCCAAGGCTATGTCCATGACATATTGAATAATTCACAAATGAATTGTAACATGAATTTTCTCCTTCAGTGTTAAAAGTCCAAGAAGGGTAAGAAAAGAGCTCTTACTAAGATGATGCCACATGCAGAGGGTTGTGACATGAAGTGTCACCTCATTGCATTCTGTTACAGCATGGTGTTACAGGGTGCTGCTGTTGCCAGTGTCTTCGATAAATGAGGAAACTGCACCCCTGGTATCTCACTAATTCCCCCGCTGACACACACACACACACACACACACACACACACACACACACACCATTTCCACTCTTCTCTCATCTACTGTCCCATGGTCCCAGTCTACCGTAATATCTGAAACACAGAATTTCTGTATTTCTGTATGAGGCAGTTTATTTATTTATTTATTTATTTATTGTCTTTTGGGGTCATACCCACTAATTCTAAGGGGTTACTCCTAGCTCTGCACTCAGGAATTACTCCTAGCAGTGCTTGGGGGAACC